ATATTTCCTTCTTAATATATTCTTCCTTACTAAGGAGTTCAGACTAATGATCCTACTATTCCCAATATTGCTTTTTCCCCCTTTCTTAATTATAAGCACGCTATAATCTGCTATAGCAAACTCATTTAGTAATCAGAATATTGCCCAGTATATGGAATACTCAGTTAATGCTTGGAGTATATCTCAACTGCCAAGAGTTATCTGCTTTCAGCAGCCCTGAAATCAGAAATTGACCTGGTCCTGCTGTTAGAAGTGCTCTGAGTAACAATGTAATGAGGCTTAATGAGGTGCAAACAGCTGAGCAGAGCCTGAGGGCAGGTTCTGAGTAACAATAACATGAGCATTCATGAGCTGCAGACAGCTTCTGGGAGGCTGTTCCCACACCAGTTAGTATGCATGCATCACCTTAAGCAGTGCCTTTATTATTGAAATCAGTGAGATTTGGCAAATGGCTAATGCTATGTACACTATTTATGTGTTTGTCTGCCTTGTCTCTCAACTTCTTAAATAGCTTACATTGTACCATATTTGCTATTTTCCACTCATGTAGTGAAATCTCATCATGACAAGTTTATTAAAAATATCTGCTACTGGATCTGTAATTTTATGTGCTGGTTATTTCATAATTCTGAGATGAAGATTATCTAGTTAATATGAGTTCAGTGCATTAAAAACTTTGAATTTTGCTCCCACCTGGGATGTGGTCCATGACTTCTATTTTCCAAGCCTTCCAAACTTCCCACTATCCATGCTGCCATTGACCTAGTCTTCATTGTTTCTCTTACTGTGAAATGAGGCAAAGTAGTCATTCTTTTGTGGAGCCAATTTATCTTTACCCTATCCTCATGAATATTAGCCTATTTTTTCATTCTTCTCTTGGTGCTCAAATAAATGAAGAAGTTTTTGCTATTTGTTTCAATATTGTTCGGAAGATCAAACTTAGCTTTACTTTTAATACTTTCCCTACACTTCTTGACTTCTAAGATGGAAACTTCTTTGCTGGTCATTCCTTTTTTTTTTTTTTTTAATCATTACAGGCTCTGCTTATTCTTCCATTTTTTTTACGCTTGTTTGGGATACAAGCCCCGATTTTTTTTTTCCACCTGTGACGCACAGAAATTCCAGGCCACCTCTGCACTCTAAACTACATTTGCTCACATTGATTGATACTGAAGTATGAAACTAGTTAACTTCTTTAGTGAAGAGCAATAAGAAAGTTTGTCAGTTTAGTACCTCTATCATCTGCAAGGACCAGTAAATAAGAAATGTGTAATTATTGCTGCAATCAAGCATTTTCCTTGAGCAGTCCCCACTCAGCTGTATGGTTGGTCACTCATCATTTATCTCAATGTTTTTCAAACTGGGGGATGAATACCCCAGGGATACATCATGCTATGCCATGGGGTATGTGCCTACACTTTAATAATGGTGGGGGAGCTTCTGACTGTTTAACACAGAGTGACCTTGACACCCACTGTTCTCAGGTAGCAGGGGGTATGTGCAGCAGTAATTTGCAAGTAAAGTTGTATGTGGCCAAAAAAGTTTGAAACCACTGATCACATCTGAGAACCATCTAGTCAATTTTTTGCCTGGTCAGGTGGTCTTATTGATAGCAGTCACTGTTTGAAGCAATAGCTGTAGGCTCAGAGTCATTTTAATTGCTCACAAGGCAATGGGGGTTTGAATTCAGAGTTTTATTTTTTCTAGATAGGCTTACTTCCCTATCCTCAGTAGCTTCATGGTGCCAGACACCTATCCTTTAGCTTTTTTCTGGAAATGTGCATTTAGTACCGACAGACCAACTCTATAGACCTGAAAAATGTAGATATATTTATCTTTATGCAGCGTGAATACTTCCATCCAGGTCAATTGGACTACTTATAGTATATAAGGTTAGACAAGGCTTTGCAAACTCAGGGACAGTTATTTTTCAGTTTCAAAGTGTTGTCTAACTTGAGGCACACAGAAAGTGGTTCTATGAGAGAGTAAATTCTCTGAAAGTGTTATGTGTTTGTAAAGATTTAAGGGATAATGCAGAATTTGGTAGGACTGTGCTACATTCACTTGCCCCCATCTCTGAATAAAATTGTTCTTTAGGGGTTAACATTTTATAATGAGCTTATGAACAATCAGTTATAGCAGAAATAGGTTACTTATCTATACACATTAATTGGTATTTTTGAGATGTGTAATTTGTAGGCATATTCCATGCCTGATGCCTCAGAGCCCTCAACTCATGGGTTCTTTTAATGGCAAAAGAATCAAGACATATTGGGGACTCCTTTTTTATAACCTGGATGGAAAGCACAAGAATGTGAAGACAACAAACACTGCTAACTAAAAAACCTCAGCATATGCACTCAGTAAGAGTGAAATATATCTCAAAGAACATCACTTACTATGTAAGCAGTCACTTCTCTTTTCCTTAGTTAATACTTGATAGTGTATTTTAGCTAGTTTTGTAATACCAAAATATCTGACTGTAATAGGGTGATCTATCCCTTTCAGAGGGAACAGTGTTACCAGATTTGCCTGTCACTTTGGGGTGTGTTAATTTATTAGGGATACGTTTCTAGAGTCTTTGTAATTCTATCAATGTGCTGCTTGTGTTACTTGTGTTTCTATATGGAGCTGTATAGTCTTCTGCAAGTCTTCACCCCCAATGGAGCTATCTTGCAGGACTCAGTTTCAATGGGGCTGGGTTCCTCCAATCACCAAATCAGTCATACACACAGACACACACAGATTAATGTGACACGCCTGATCCAGCCAGGTTGATCAACATGGATAGGCTGACACCCTCATATGCCAAGAATCAGTTCATCAGAGCAACAATAAACTTCAGTCAGACACGAGCACACAGGTGAACAGAATACTTCTGAATCCAGCTGGGTGTCTAGCTGACACCCTCATGGGCCAGCATTTAGTTCATTAGGGCACATTTGAGCCAAACTGGGTCAATCAGCCTGTACAAGCTGATTCCTTTATGTGTTTCAAACTCAGCACATCCCAATCTTTAGCCTCTTGATGAGGAGACCCCACAGTATTTTTGGGCTTCACAGGGATCTTTAGCTTAGGTAAAAGAAGCATTGCTGCAGAGCAAATGGGGAAAGAGAAGTAGAGAAGGAAAAATATACCCAGTCACTACCAGTTTGACTAGAAAAGTTATTTATTGCTAAGTATATGAAATATATAATGGTACTAGTAGTAATAGACATGCAAAGGAAAACAAACACAAACAATTACAATACTACCCTGGTTTCACTAAGTATTTGGGGAAATTTAGCTCAAGCTTAACTAATACAATTCAGGTTCAGAAATCTATGCCTAAAGAGAGAAAGAGAAAAGAGAGCGAGAGCTGGGATCTCACAACTCCAAGGCACTCGGGTTCCAATGCTGACAGGTAAAGTTCTTAGCACAATTCTTGAAGGGAGACAATCTGTTTCTTCCAGCTTCTTGGGAACAACAGCGGATGGTGTCAGAGAGACTTCTCCTCTTGAAGCACAACTTTGCTGCTTTTTTTTACAGATTTTTATACCCTCAGTTCAGCTTCTTCAAAGCATTCTTAATAGTGTAAATAATTGTCTTTTCTATTGACAAGGGGTTATCTGGTTTGGAACACCTCAAGAAACTGATTAATAACCAGGAAAAACATAAGGTTAAGGAGTAACCAGACACTTAGGAGCCAGCTTGAAATTCCTATGGATAGCAGATATACTGGATGGGATACCTCATTGTTTCTTCAGAAACAATAGAAAGCTTGCAGCATCAGGGTTTGGGATTTTTACCTGTTGTGAACAAGCCTCAGTTTAGCATGACTTTTCATAACTTTTGTGGGGAGGACTCCCACCAGTCATCCCAGGAAAAGTATGACAACACTTGTGGTCAGGGCTCCAATGGGTTGGATGCTGTGATGAACCCTTAACCATTGTTCAAATGTTGCCCATACCCCCTCTGACTCGGTCTCTTTGCCTCAGCATTCCCTAACTCGGCAACCGAGTTTTAGTCAATCAAGTTTAAGTAGAACTCCTATAGTGGGACTGGGGAATATATGGCCCGAGATGTCTATTAAACTTTTACTTAGAGGTGTGTGTGTTGGGGGGGAAGTCCTTTGTAAATCCAGATTAGAATTGGTCTGATAAATGCTGAGCTGGGTGTGTGTAAATGTGGGTTGATTAGCATTGGGAGCAAAGATTCCCCATCATGGAATGCTCCCCTGCTTCTCTGATCCCAGAATTCACTGCGATCTCTGCTTTGGGCATTCTGTTCTCCATCTTCCATGTAAATGAATTGTCATCTGGTTCCATCTTGCATGCAAATGAGACCTAGGGCAGTTGTTTCACTCTTCTCACCCTTATCTGGAGGGCTTTAGGTGTGTCTCCCACTACATCTTCATTGTCTTTTGTAATCGGTTCTTGTTCAGGTAGAGGAGGGGAGGGGGGGAGAAATCTTTGTGAGTCAGACAGGCTGCGTCCTGTGTCAGGATTCACCAAGGACACGGAGTTGAGAGGTAACAACAGTCAGCCCTGTTGAGATATCCCAGCTGCAGGGCATTTGGATAATGAGGGAGAAGTCCTACTGGGAGCCTAGAAGACCAAGAGAGAGAACAGAAGAGGAAACTTGCTTGTTCTGCTTCTTTAAAAGAGTGTGTTTTATTTGGGAGGACCGGCTGAGGAGCTCCTCAGGGACCAAAACCCACCTGCAAAGTCAGTAGGTGAGGCAACCTGCTTACACTGATGTTTTGTCCTTTTATTAAAAGGATGCCTACAATGCAGAATGAAAACTGAAAGAAGCACAAGTATATATATATATATATATATATATATTTACTTAAAGAATTTTATATATATATAAATAATCTGTTACTCACATAAACTGAATACATAAAAATTCAAAGGTATAATAGAGCCAACTTTTTGTTATGTTCCTTGACTAGTAATGTTTCTCATACATGCATCAGTTGAGCTCTTGTGACTTCTCTGTTGTTGTTTTTTTCACAGAAGTTAAATTTGTCCAGTTCATCTGAAGGTAGCACAGTTGATATTGGACTTCCAGCAGAAGAACAGCCAGAAATTGAACCTGAAGAAGCCATGGAGCCAGAAGCCTGTTTTACAGAAGGTGAGTAAAGTAAAATATGATCTAAAGTAACAAAAATAGGAAGTGAACAGAAATATCTACTTAAACTATTTACAAGTATTTACAAATTGAAATACCATTTTATAAAACATTGACATATATAAATAATTATGGATTATGAACAGTTTATTCAGTTCATAATATACAATGAAGATAATTATTACTTTGATACTGATATTGCAGAAATATAATGTTTTCAGATAACAAAAGACCATGGCCAAATCATCATATAAACAAATTACTACAGTTTAAAAATAGAGGAAACCATTTATTTTTCTTAGTGTCCTACTGTAGTATCTAAGAGTTGGAGAGTATCCTAATTAGATAAAAATAATAATTAGCACTCTTAGCATGCTAGAGCTTTTTTTTCATAGGTAACTTTCAAAATGCTTTTAAATTTGAATAAGTATCCCTGAAACTGGCACTTAGTGACTGGCAAATAAAAAAACTCCATATAGTTTGTCTTGATTTAAATGTTGGCTGAGCCTTTATTTAAGAAATAAGCAAAATGAAAAGAAACAATCTTCACATTCTTTAATTCTCCCTAGTAGAAAGTAATAGCCCAGCATGGTTGTTTGTTCCAGTCTTTTATCCTTCATTTCTGTAATTTTAAATAAACAAACACACACTGCTATTAAGCACTTCCCTGGGGAGAAAACTTGGCCCTAGGCAGAGGGAACTAGATTTATGCAAGGGTTTGTTAGGTGCTCAACTACTGCTTTTGGCACCAGCCTCCAAAATTTAGATTTTTCAGGCTGCTACCATGAAGGAGTAAGAATATGAGCTGTGGACCAAAGGCTGCAAAGGATCCTTATAAAAGTAAGGAAGAATCCACTGATCATCCTTCATGTCAGAACAGATGACACTGAAAGATTTCCACTAGAATGGATCCAGAATGAATAACTATGCCAGACTGGTGAAGATGCTCTAAAATGTGGAGGCTTACTTAAGTGAACTTCAGTGGAATTCTTGTGGTTTCTAGAGAAGGAAGTTGAAAGTATGATCAGGTAATGAAGAGAAACAAATGGTACTATTAGGAAGGTTTTGGAATGTTTAGATACTGCATTCATAGAAAGAGGACTTTTACTGACAGGCGCGCTCCCACCTGAATATAACGGGCAAAAACCCTCTGGAATTGAGGCTGACATAACAGATAAAAACAGCTTTAAATTAAGCAGTGAGAAGAGATCTTTCAAAGAAGCTTGTGTAAGCTCCACACCTGGCTTTAGTACACAATGTCCTCCTCTACACAAGATGTTGACTGTGCAGTAGCGTGGCAGAACCCATGATGCGATACTACTGTGCAGTAGTCTCAGAGCTACTGAGCAGTAGCATCACAAAAACCCACTCAGCGGCACTACTGCATAGTAACTTGGATTACTGCACAGTCATTTAGTACTTGTAAAATGTAAAATGTGCAGTAACGCTGATGAGCAGCTTTTTCATAACACTACTGTGCAGTAGCCTAATACTACTGCCCAGTAGCATTATGTCACGGTTTCTGCCATGCAATGCTACTGCGCAGTAGTATTGGGTTACTGCGGAGTCAGCTTCTCATGTAGATATAGCCACTAGAAAGAAAATCAGATAGGCAAGGATATGGGAAAGACATATCAGTGATCCAATCAGAAGTTTGGATGGCATGGGGAAAGATTACTAATATGCATAAAAGCAGTAATTAGGTAGGACATGCAGTTAGTGGAAGAACTGTGCCATATCAAGCCATTGAAACTGGATGTCGTCATTAAGAAACAGCCATAATGGTTGTAAAATAATTCAAAGAGATTTGGCAACAAAAAGGGGGAAACTTAACTACTGATGCAGAATGCAAAATCACATATTACAGGAAAAACAGAAACATATAGGGACAGCAGTTGTGACTGGAATACAGGATATGAATTGTTTGGGAAAGATAGAAGTAAGAAAGTTGGTACAGTATTGCCATGTGCTAATAATGTGATAGACTATAGAGAAAAGTAAAATTCAGTAAAGTAGAAGTTAAAGAGGTTCTACTGAGTAATTCCTGGAATTAGCTTTGAATACAGACTGTGTAACTTCATTAGGAAGATAAATGCTACTGATTAATTTTCCTGACCCAGACTGGAAAAAAAGAGATCCAGAGCCAGCAAGGAGTTGATGCTAACTTAGAGTTGTTTTTGATAAGTAATTAAGACATTATAGAAGAGCTACTTATAGAAAATAGGCTTGGATCACAAGTTAAGTAAATTTAAAGTTAACTGGAAGAATAATCAAAAAATAGTTCTTAACTAAAGTTCTCAATTTCAAAATGTTTCTTAATATTTGTAACTTGGGCACTGGGCACAGAACAATCTAAGTCAGGGGTAAGCACCTTGGAAGGTGCTGGAGTGCCGGCATGCCAGAAAAACAAAATGAGGGCAGGGGGTACATGGCAGGATGCACAGCATATTAGTATAATTAATAATCATAAATGTTTCCTTTTTATGGTAAATACCAGATTTTTTAAAAATTGTAAACCTGGTGACAATAAATAAAACTTCAGTGCGCTGCCACTCTGGGTCACACACACTGCACTCCTGGCCCTGCTGCCCTCCCCTGGGCCCTCCAGAGCACAGCGCATGCAACCCAGAGCGGCAGCACACAGAAGGGCTGCACAGGGAAGCTGCCTGCCACTGCATGCTACACGTTGCCCTGGTTACACTTGCCTTGCATGCATGGTGGCAGCGTGGGCAACAGCACAGGGCTGTGCCCCGCGCTGCTGCCCCCACCTTCAGGGGAAGTGTGGCCAGAGCAACAGGCAGCTTTCGTGCGCTTCCCCATGCCAGGTTCTATACGCTGCTCTGCAGAGGCAGTGGGGGAGGGCAGCATAGTGGGGATCATCGCCAGCACCTGCTGCCTGCCCTGGGCTGTGGCTGGGCCTGGGAGGTGGCTGGGCCTGGGGCTGGGGAAGCAGCAGCTGTTTGCAGCCTCCTGGCTGCAGCTGGTCCAGGCTCTGGGTAGCTGCTGCCAGCCATGGATCCTGGGCAGCTTGCAGCAGGGCTTGCATCCTCCCAGCTACCTACTACGAGAAACCCAGGGCCCGTGGCTATCAGCAGCTACCCAGAACCTGGGCAGGCTGCAGCCAGGAGGCTGCAAACAGCTTCTCCCTCCCTGCCCTGGCCCTGGCTGTCTCCCGCCCTGGACTCCAGGAAGGCAACAGGTGCTGGCACTGCGCCTGTTGGCTGGGACAGGGAGGCAGCAGCTGTTTGCAGCCTCCTGGCTGCAGCTGGCCCAGGGTCTGGGGTAGCTGCTGCCAGCCATGATACCCAGACTGCTTGCAGCAGGGCTTGTAGCCACCCAGCTGCCTCCTGGGAGCAGACCGGGCTCCATGGCTGGCAGCAGCTTCCTAGAGCCCAGGCTGGCGGTTGCGTGCCAAGCAAAATGGCCTTGCGTGCCATGCTCACCACGCGTGCCAGGGGTTGCTGACCCCTGATCTAAGTCTTGCAAGCACTAAACAGTGTGGCACTTATCTCAAACCTATCCCCAATGGTAATTATACATTAGGTTTTCTTCCATCTGTCTCGACTTCAGGGCCTAATCCAGTAAATAGACTCAGAGCATATCTGGCACAATGAAGACAGGAAGTTGGAGGTGTTGGTGTCCCACATCTTTACTCTGTGATTAAAACATCCCCCTGGGAAACAGAAAGCCATTTTCAAATCTTCCTTCTGTTTAAATGGATATGAACCCACGTCTTTCACCTGCAAGCATTCTATCCTAACCACCGGTTTACTCTGGGCTGGGGCTCTTTCAGTCTCTCTTGTTGAAAATACTACTCTGAAATATTGCTTGGGCTGAAGACAGGGAGCAAAACAGTGAAGATGACACTATAGCTCAGTGATTATGGCATCACATAGGCTAAGAAGGACCAGGGTTATTCCCAGACTGACCAGAAACTAGTCCTTCTTAGACTACGTGATGCCATAATTACTGAGCTATTATGTCATCCTCATTGTCTTGCTCCATGTCTTCATCCCAAGAAATATATCAATGGAATACTTTCAACAGTAAGTTTTTAAGAGAGCCCCACACCAGGACAGGCTTCTAGCCCTGCTCTAGGTGGGGGGTTGTGTAAAAGATGGGTTGGAGGGGTGGGAACGTGAAGCTGGGAGGTGGACAATTAATGGGATGGGGGTGAGTAATGAAATGAGAGGTGGAAAGGAAATGGGTGTGGGGGAAGGGTGATGGAGGAATTCAGCCACTGAAGAATAAAATAAAAAGAAGTAAAATGTAGAAAAAAATTTCAAAAGAAATAAAGAGGATGTAAGGTCTTATGTTTTAATAAATTGGGATTTGGAACTGGGGTTTAGGGGTTATGCTTCCCAGGATGCCTGGGAGGTGCGAATAATGAGGGAAACAAGGTTCCTTGGGTGAATCTGATATCTTTTATTAGACCAACCCAAATGGTTGGAGAATAGTTATTAAATAAGCTTTCGGGTTCAAAAACCCTTTGTCAGGCTAAGGAAGTTTCAGCAGTTGGTGTGTGCTCTTCCTGGATGGAATGAAAAGTAAAGAAGCCAGGCTGGGCAGGTATGCATACAAGACAGGTAGTCAGTGAAAATGTAGATTGAGGAGTCAATGGGTGAGAGCCAGGCGGGGGCGGGGGGCGGCGGGGAGGG